GCAACCAGCATGGCTTTTTCATCTCGTCTGTGTGTCCTCACCCGCCCCAACCTATTTAGGTCAATACAAGCAACTTCAGAGGAAGTCACTGCTTGGCTATAAGAGTACGGCTTTGGGCTGCTGAGGACAAAGCGTGTGAGGAAAACAGGAGTGCTCTTGGGCCATCCTAGAGCTGTGGATACAATCTGAATGCTAGGGGTATCCACCTGATGGTCTTTGGTTCTTCTTTGGACACCAAAGCCATCGTTTTGCTGAAAGGCACTGCCTTGTGCTCTGGGACAAGGATCTGCGCTTTGTGTCCTGGGGCAGCAGTGTGGATCCAAACCTTCACGAGGGGTGGAGAAGAGGTTGGGACGCTGCCCTGCAACACCACAGGTAAGGGGCCGGGCAGTGGGATGGGATGGGATGGGATGGGATGGGATGGGTTGGGATGGGATGGGATGGGATGGGATGGGATGGGATGGGATGGGATGGGATGGGATGGGACTGTCGGGTCCTGTGGAGTCCTGTCCTCCCTCTGACCTCCATGTCTCCCTTCTTGCCTGACACCTGGGCTGGGCTGCATTGGCTGCTGTTCCAGAACGTGTTTGTTCTTAAAGGAGTGTAGGGAAGCCAGGGAACCTCTTGCTGTTTTTTTTTCTCATGAGTTGGGTCTGCCTCGCCAGTTCAGAAAACATCCCAATCCTTTCAGAATGACATTTACCTATGTGACTTCCAATAGGCCTTCTCCTTCCACAAATCTCAGGTGCTTCTGAAACTTCCAGTGGTTTTTTGCAGTTGTTTTAAAAGCATTTGGTGATTGGGGTTAAATCCAGCTGGTGACTGGTCACTACTGGTGCTTCCCAGGAGTCAGCTCTGGGGTCAGTCACATCCATAGAGGTGTTCAAGAACTGTGTAGATGTGGCACTGAGGGATGTAGTTAGTGAGACGGGCTGATGGTTGGACTTGGTGATCTTAGTGGTTCTTTCCAACCTTAATGATTCCCTGATTCATTTATGGGTAGTGAGGAATCACTTTCTTAAGAAGAGAAAGAAGGGATGAATAGAAATCTCACACAGAGCGCTGCCCTCACAGCCCCGTAACCACATCTCTCTGCAGTTAAAGCATGATGACAGCGGCCACCCTGCACAGAGCTCTTCCACATGTGGAGCAGCAGTGCATGATCCAATGTCTACCCTTGAACTCCTGCAGGAGAGCAGTGCTCTTCTGAAGTGCCATTTCAAACAGATTGCGCTCCACTATGCCCAACCTCCTCCATGTAGATACAGCTAGAAGAGCAGAAAAAGTGCTTTCACCAGTATAGCCTATGTTATTTTGAGGAAACGCTTGCAGAAAAAGATGCCTGTGGTAGTAGAACTTGTGTCTGCTGGTATCAAAGGGCAAGTGCTCATAGTGCAAACCAGGCCTCTTATATATGAGAAGCTTTAGGCAGTTCAGCCATCGGTAAAGAAAATCCTTCCTCAGAGGGATTAGGAAGGTTACCTAACAGATGTTGCTGCTGGTTTAAGAGCACAAAAGGTGATGGAGCAATCATAGTGGGGGCCAGAGCTGTGGCCATGCACTGTGAAGATACACCCTGGGTGGGAGCTGCCCTATGCCGTGGCCACATCCTCTGCTTCAGAGCATCCTTCTGGTCTGGGGGATGCAGACCTGCCCCCAGAGCAGCATCTGCACTGTCTGGCCTGGGAAGACAGCAAAGGGTTGTGGGAAGAACTGGAGCAGTGCGATGCATTGGAGCACACTGCTTTGCACAGGCTGAGGCACGGCATGCATCCCCATCTCCTTACACCAGCAGCTTTAATGAGCATCAGATTTCCAGTCCAGTAGACTTGGACATTTCTGCAGGAAATGCCCTCAGTGCTGCACCTCGCACAGCACCTCGCACTGCCCACTCGGCACACATCCCGGCCCTTCCCTTCCTGGCTTCCCCTGCATTTAACTCATGGAGACGCATGACCCTGAGTCAGATGGTGAGCAGCCGGTTAGAGAGGTGCGTGTGAACGCAGAGCCTCACGCAGATGAGCTCAGAGCAAACAGAGGACGGGGGGGAGGTGGGGAGGGTGCGAAGCTACCACCTCCGTGCTGCTCCTTCAGCTGCGGTGTGCCAGCAACAGGTCTGTGCCCAGGGGATAGAACTGAGAGCTGAGGGCTGAAAATGAACAGAGTGCTATGGCTCCATCACCAAGCTGTGCTCTCTGAGCGAAGCACAGAGCCAACCCTGCTGCCTTCATCGCTTGGGAGGGAGCCTCAGAGTGAACCCTGAGCGCACTGTCAGTAAGGGGAGATTAATCAGTGCGTTCATTTGTTGGCAGCTGCTGGAGAGGATGCATCTTCCCAAGGTCTGAATATGCAAAAAGCCCGTAGTTTGCTGAAAGAGGAGGAAAAAAGGCAAAGCAGCAGCAGCAGGAAAGGGCCAAAATGGCCATGTTTACCCTCAGTTTTCATGTGACAGTGACCTCTACGCACCACTCACCACTGCTCTGCTGTTGTTTTCTTGTTAGCTCTTTGCTGTCAAATTAATTACTGTGAAGCACTAAGCCTGCCGCCTTCACGTGCTCTTATTAGCTTACAGGATGTCCGAGTGATTGGATTTTTAGCATTATTTCTTTTTTTACATTCTGGGTTTTCCATTCACAACCTGTTAGCAGGAGGCACGAAATGCAGGCGCTAATTCTGAGCCCCTTATGCAGTGTAGGTGTGCTACGCTGCCCTTAATATCACTGTGATCAGACCGGGATTGCGATGCGATGGTACTCCACGGCGCTGTTTGTCTCTCCTCAAAGCCAGAGAAAGATCGGTGGTGGTACGGGGATAGCGATTCTGCCTTTAGCTGATCCCTCACTGACCCTCTTTATGCCCCTGGTGGCTTCTATTAGTGACAGGTGACAGCAGCCTGTGCAGCGCACACAGACACACTGCCCAAGTTTTATTTTCCTTCTTAAAAAAGCGGCGGCTCCTTGTAAACGCGCTCCTGCCCTTTGCGAAGCCAGCGCTGGGCTCCGCGGCGGTTACGACGGCCTCGCGCTGCCTCCCCCCGCCCGCCCCGCTGCCCCTCGCCCCGCCGCTTCCCGACGCGGCCCCGCGGGGGCGCCCTCGGCCCGGCCATGCCCGCGGCGGTGCGGGGCCGCGCGGCCCCGGGGTGCACCCGCAGCTCGGCGGGGCGGAGGCTGCGTGCACCTGGCCGGCTCACCCCGACCGCTGGGGCCCGCCCGCCCTCCCTCGGGCTTGGCTGCGGGGTAGCCGGATGGGAAGCGGAGCCTTACCCCGCCCTCGAGGCTTACCCGCAAAGGGAAACCCGCTCGCAGGGCTCGGGGTCCCGTTATGTCCCCCTCACCGCACCGCGCTGCCCAGGAGAGCCCCCGTCCCGCTGCACCGAACACACGCTCGCACCCGCCCCGTCGCAAAACCAACCCGACGGTAAACTTTCTAATGCCTTCTCCTTTCGAGTGCTTAAAAGGCAAAGGAACAGCCCGGGGGGGGCACCCAACTCCCGGCCGGGGTCGGACCTTGCGGCGCGGTGCGGTGCGGTGGGTGTGTGCGGGAACCGGGAGGAACGGGGGGAGTTAAAGGAACAGCGCAGTTAATAGCTCCGCATAAGGAAGTTACTGTAATAGCCCGGGGGGCAAAAAACTTAATCTTCCAAATAGTGAGGAACCCACGGCGGCTCTGTTATAGGTTGGAGTTCCCACGTGGTTTTAACTCCTGTATAAAAGTTTCAGTAGAAAGTGCCACAATGTCGTGATTTTGCAGGGGGGGGGTGGGAATTAGCAGGAGGAGACGCGCGACCGATAAGCGAGGAGCGAGCCGCTTCCCCGAGCCTTTCCACTGCGGAGCCGCGAGGGAACATCAGACGCGTTAAAAAAAGCCCCAACCAAACCAAAACAAAACGCGGCGTTGGAGCCGGCGCACGGCGAGCGGAGATCAAACAGACGCGGAGAGAGAGAGGAGGGAGAGAGGGAGAGACAGATTAACTGGAACAGCGGCGGCGGCGGCGGCAACAACAACAACAACAAAAAATAATACTTATAATAATAATAATAATAAAAACCCAAACCACCAACAAGGGAGATATTGCTTAAAAAGAGCGAGCGAGGCAGCGAGCCGCAGCGCAGGGCTGACCGAGTGGATCCGCGCAGCACTCCCGGGACCGCCGGCACCGCGCTGAGTCCCCGCGGAGCGGCCGCGCAGCGCTGCAGAACCGCGCGGGGACCGCCGCATCCTCCGGAGCCTCCGCGCGGATCTCCCGATCCCGCCGTCGCGGGGAGACGCCTCGGCACCGTGGAGCCGTCGGCCACGCACCCGCCGCCCGCGGCCCCCGCCCCGGCGGTGCTCCGCGTCAACTTTGGCGGCGCGTCGGGAAGCGGCGGGCGCTGAAGGAAGGAGCGAGCGGAGCGCGGCGGAGAGGCTCAGAGACCCGCACCCACGGCCTGTGGATTGTTGTCTTGCGGGGGCGGAGTGGGCGGGGGGGTACAAGTGGCATCTCTCCCCCCCACCCCCCCTCCTCCTTCCAGGCTATAAATTGGATTGTATATAAATCTGCTTCGGTTATCTCCCTGACCCCCCTCAATGACGCCGGACTAAAGAGCTCTCTCCGCGGCCCGCCCGGACCCTGCCGAAGCGAGCGATGGACCACGAGCGGCGGCGCCCGGGGATGCCCCTCTGAAGCGCCGCGGGGCCCCGGGGCAGCGCGGCGCCGCCTCCCCCAGCTCCCGGCTCCCCTCGCACCTCCGGCCCCGCTCCCCCTCCCTCCTTCCCCGGGCTGCGCGGCCACCCCCTCACCTGCTGCCGTCCCCCTCCCCCGCGGAGCCGGGCGCTCGGTGCGTTCAGCCCCGCCGCCCCCCCCCCCGCTCCCCCCCCTTCTCTCCCTCCCTCCCCAACTTCGGTTGCCTGCGCGGGCGGCCTCCCCCCTCCGCCTCCCCGGCGGCACACGCCGCTTCCCCGGGCCCCCCTCCCTCCCTCCCCGCGCGGAGCGGTTGCGGCCCCCGGCTTGGCTGCCGCCGCCCCCTCCGCGCCGCGGAGCGCTCGGAGCGGCGCTGCCTGCAGACGGGCTCCCTGCGGCGCTCCGGGCCGGCCCCAGCTCGGCCCCCCGCTCCTCCGCCATGGACGGGGCGGCTCGCCGGGGGGTGCTGGCCGCGCTGCTGGCCTGCGGGCTGCTGCTGCTGGGAGCCGCCGCCACCCCGACCCCGCCGGCTCCCGCCGGGGGCTCCCCGCAGGACACATGCACCTCCTGCGGCTTCCGGCGGCCCGAGGAGCCGGGCAAGGTGGACGGGGATTTCCTGGAGGCGGTGAAGAGGCACATCCTGAGCCGGCTGCAGATGCGGGACCGGCCCAACATCACGCACGCCGTGCCCAAGGCGGCCATGGTCACGGCGCTGCGCAAGCTGCACGCCGGCAAGGTGCGGGAGGACGGCCGCGTCGAGATCCCCAGCCTGGACGGGCAGGCGAGCGCCGGGCCCCCGGCCCACGACCCCGTCTCCGAGATCATCAGCTTCGCTGAGACAGGTGGGCGCCGCCCGGCCCCGAGCCGCTGTCCTCTGCCCTGCCTGCCCCGAGCCCCGCAGCCCGTCCCCTGCCTGCCCCTGCTGCCCGTCCCTTGCCCGCTGCGGGCCCTTGGCTACTGGGCTCATCGGCCCGTCCTTAGCCTCTACCCCTTCCGCCCCGGCCCCCAACGCCCCGCTGTCCCGTGCCCCTGTGCCCGCCAGCCCCCTCGCCGGGTCCCCTTGCGGGTCTCCTTGCAGCGCTCCTTCCAGCCACTCGCCTCTGTCCCCTGCATCCCGCTGTCCCTTCTCCGCCTGTCCCACTCCATCCCTCGCATCCCTCACTGCAGCTGATACCCTTCTAATTCCTCTGCTCCGCAGTGTGTCTGTTGAGGTCTGCTTGCCCTCCCTGGCTGTTCCATCCCCACGTATTTAGCCTTCATTCATGGTGTTGGCCTTGTCTGCCTCCTACCGCTGCTGTTTGTCTCCCTTCTGTCCGTCTGTCCCTGTACTGATTGTGCCATCCCCATCATCCATCCCCATCGTCCTGGCTGCCTCAATCCCACGCCGCCCCTGCGGTCGCACGGCACTGAGTCCCTTTGCGGAGCTTCCCAGCAGTTCACCCAGGTGGCCGCTGTGCTGGTGAACTTTGCACATCTGCAGTGCTCTGTGCACTGCTGCCTGCTGTCTATCTGCCCATCTCTCCTTGCCCTCATTGCTCTTTCACTCGATTCATTTCTCTGCCTCTCTATCACTCTGTGGCATCTATAGATCATTTGTCCACAAAATAAATCTCTTTCTAGCCTGGATGCTGCCTACTCACCTTCTTTATCTACCCTCCCACTTAGCAAAGCATATACATGTACAGTATCTATGGGATCTGTTGCATTATACATATGCTTGTTATATTCATATACAAAATTGATGGGCGCACACAATCTCGTGCAACACAAGCGATGGGGATCGGTGCAGCAACGCTGTACTGTTCTTTTTCTGTCACTGTCACCACAGTTTATAAAGAAGTTGTGTATTTATTAGCGTGCAGAAGGTGTTCTCAGCATAAGCAATGGTGTTGTTATTTGTTGGTGGGCTGTTGGTGGGAGGTGTGGGGTGGGCTTCTTCCACTTGCTTTTCAATGAACACTTTGAATATTGCCTCGATGTAAGATGTACAGAAACACAGTGACAATTCCTTGTCCCTGAAATATTACAGGGTGAGGAATGGGCCCTGCAGGCGAATTAGGAGGGAAGGCATCTAGGGTAACAAATGGAGACACTGACTGTGCAAAAAACCATTGACAAAAATTACAGAGATTCATAGGAAAACAAAAGGAAGAGAAATCTTCATTTGGCTGCGTGCAGAAAGAAGTCAAACAGATAAGGACAGATGAGAAAATGCCTCTCCAGCAGTAATTTAAACAGCGACTGCAAGGCTGTGATTCAAGCACCAGCATTACCGTCCCTGCTGCAAAGGCACATTCATCACCTACGCCAGATTTGGTTGGGACTTACAGTGCAGAACGGCAGCGGGGACACCGGTGTTTCTGCAGCAATGCATGCGGCAGCACCTGTGTTTACAAATAATGGGTTATGTCAGACATTTGGTGACATTTGGTTTTCTGGGATAATGTCACTGCTGGAATTCTGATGTTACTGAGTAGTTCACGGGGAGCAGTCAGCAGTGGTGGTGCAGCGAGAGCGGCTGCTTCATTTGGTCGCCTCTAGGCGAGTTATCGCAGCGAGGAGAAAGGCAGAGGTTGGGATGGTGAATGGCAGATATTGTACCAGGCTAGGAGGGCTTTGCTTCATCTGTAGAAGACTTAGGGATGTTACTGAAATATTTTTCCCGCTATCTTGTGGATCCTCTCTGCTAAACGGCCGTGAGAGTATGTGAAAATCGAAACAAAATCCCCAGTTTGGCATTGACGTTTCAGTGGTTGCTGAAAGGGCTCTCGCTGTGAGAATCGGCCAAGAGCTGAAAGTTAAAACTATTCTTAAACCAGCGAGATAGGGCAGTGCAAGCACCAGACCTTTCACGATGCTGTCGTGGTGTCCGTGCAGCTCTCCGGCTGCAGAAACCCAGTGCTGGGAGAGCCCTGGCTGGTGGCAGTGCATCCGACCCACTCGGCTGCAGCCCGGCAGCTTGTTTCGATTGCAGATCGGGGCTCTCAGATTCATTGCATGCCTTCTGGCTGATGCAGCCCCATCTCCCTTTCGATCAGCTGTCTTCCGGCGTTGCCGCTGAACCCAGAATCATACAAAAGATACATTTTCTTTTTGACTTAATCTTGCTGATCTCTCCTTATCTTGCAGACGATCTGGCCTCATCTAGAGTCCGCCTCTATTTCTTCATCTCAAATGAAGGGAACCAGAACTTGTTTGTCGTTCAAGCCAGCCTGTGGCTTTACTTGAAGCTGCTTCCATATGTCTTAGAGAAAGGCAGCAGGCGAAAAGTAAGAGTCAAAGTCTATTTCCAAGACCCGGACACTAGCAACAAGTGGAATGTGGTTGAAAAGAAAGTCGATCTCAAAAGAAGTGGTTGGCACACTTTTCCCATGACAGAGGCGATCCAGGCTCTGTTTGAGAGAGGAGAAAGGAGACTGAACTTGGATGTTCAATGTGAGGGCTGTGAAGAGTATTCAGTGCTGCCAATTTATGTGGACCCCGGGGAGGAATCCCACCGGCCTTTTTTAGTGGTGCAAGCCCGCCTCACTGATAACAAACACAGGATCCGGAAAAGAGGCCTGGAGTGCGATGGCAGGACCAATCTATGTTGCAGGCAACAGTTTTACATTGACTTTAGACTCATTGGGTGGAATGACTGGATCATAGCACCATCAGGTTACTATGGGAATTACTGTGAAGGGAGCTGCCCGGCCTACTTGGCTGGCGTCCCGGGGTCGGCTTCCTCCTTTCACACCGCCGTCGTGAATCAGTACCGAATGCGGGGGCTGAACCCGGGCACCGTGAACTCCTGTTGCATTCCAACCAAACTTAGCACAATGTCAATGCTGTACTTTGATGATGAATACAACATTGTGAAAAGGGACGTTCCCAATATGATTGTGGAAGAATGTGGTTGTGCTTGATTTGAGGTGTGTTTTTTTGGGGGGAGAGAGAGAGAGAGAACATTCCCGTACGAGATGGTGTTGGAGGAAGTTTCACTGTGTATCCAGGCATCAGTGTTGAAAAGTCACTGTGGAAAAGTTTGACGAAAAAAAAAAAAAAAAGAAGTCATTTCACTTTGGTGTCAGGACAGTGGCAGTTTGTGGATCTTGGACACTTATATATCCTACCACTTATAAGTTAATGCTATGAGATATCTTAAAGACACACACACACACACGCACACACGCGCACCGTGCGCACACACAACCACGCGCTCGTGCACACACAGACACACACAGACACGAGGCAGCTTGGGAAAGGGACGTGAGCGCAGGAAGTCAGTGACCAGTGACGACGTACCTACATGCCTGCCAGTACGAGTGGACGGCTGCGCAGCTGTATCCCCGCCTGCCAGCAAAGCCAGACCGAAATGAGCTCCCTTTGCTCAGGCAAAAGCACAGACTGCGAGAGCACAACGTATTCTTGCACGCAGGTGTCGAAATGACCAAACTTAGAGAGAGTAAAAAAAAAAAAAAAGAAAAAGAAAAAAAAGTCGACTGTCACCTCTTAGGTCTAGTGGGAAGCTGCAGGACACCTGCCTTTGTAGGTGATCACTTCCTCTTAATTTAAATTTATCTAATTGTAAGCATCACGGAAAACCGTATCTTCTTACAGCACTTCCAGTAAGCACTTCCACTTCGGTAACATCTGAGAGAGAGAAGGAGACAGACAGATACGCAGCTGCTGTGTTTCTGGCATCGGACTGTGGCGGGGTCTGATGCTGTAACTGACCACTAGCAACCCGCGGATGGCTGTACCTGTTTGTGTCTTGGAGAAGGGAATCTGACACCGTATCTGGACTGTGTTGACCGTGAGCATCTCTCACTGTTCTGAGAGCAAAGAGTCAGAGTTGCATTCTGTGTTCTTCGACGGGGGACTCGGCGAGGAGCTGTCGTGTGGGGAGCGAGCAAACAAGCGGCCGCTACCACGGCTAAACCAATGAACCCTGCACAGGAGCGACAGTGCCGCAGTGGAGACGTTCTGAAAAATGCAGTGCATTTAGTAACAGGCAAGGAACACTTTAACGAGTCTTGGAAAGGAGGAGAGAGGAGAGTGCTTTCAATTTCCTTACCAGGAGGTGTCAAGAATGGCCATAAAGATCAGAAGATAATGATACAGCATAGCACTTGCAAACTGCTTGAATGCACGTATAATAGCACTTGCAAATTTCAATGCCTTGAAAAGTGGTACTTGATAGTGCACTTATCTTTGCTCACTATCTAGGTAAACAGGTGCCGCATGAGCTATGCAATTTAAAGTGTTGACCCATACTAGACAAAACTGGACTTATGATATGACTTTTTTATATTTTTTTATACTTGAAATTAAATCTTTTGCTTCTTTTTTAAAGCGAATGATTGCTTTTAATGTTTGCACTGATTTAGTTGCATGATTAGTCAAAAAACTGCCATTTGAAAAAAATGTTATTTTTATAGCAGCAAAAAATGAATACAGTTAAATGTATTATACATAAAATTTTGGAACCAAAGAGGCCAACATATTAGTTATAATTTTTATGAGATGGCAAAGCCATCATATATCATGTAGTCATGCTGAGCAATCCCTCACGAGGCCTACCAATTGTTTCAGGGTACAAAATGGATTCTGTTTGTTCTATTCAGTGTCTTTTCTATACCATACGCACATGGAACGTAGAGTGAAAAAAAAATGACTATTGTAGAATACATTACAAGATGTGCATCCTTTAAATCCAATTTTTATGTTTATTTAATAAAGTTCCTTTTAGGTTCTGTTCCATAATAATTTAAACCAAACAATTTTCACTTAGATTTGCTGTTGAAGTATTTTACATTTGTGTACAGTTTAAATAAATAAAAAGATGGAAAACTGGACCTGCTTTTTTTTTTTTTTTTTAAATTTTTTTTTAAAATTGTTTGATTTTGGTGCAGTGTGCAACAACATCTGGAGAAACGCAGTTGCTTTTTGGGGCTGAGTGCAGGCGGTGAGCCATCACGTCAGGATGTACACAGATTGGGCACTGCAGAAAGCAGTGTCTGAGAGCTCAGCTGCCATCCTGAAGTGCCATGCTCTCACTTCATGGCCGTCTGTACCTGCAAGCATCTGCTCCTTTTTGCATGCACTGGTGTGGGTCCGTGGGGTGCGGGTAGGGCTGCGTTCCGCATACCTGCCGAGCGCTGGGAGCGAGTTCCTGGTTCACCTGCTGTGTAGGAATGTGACTTCTTGCCTGGGTCACTCCCCAGCACAGCGCTTACCAGAAGTGAGAAATAAGGGGAAAAGCACTTCCAGGAAAAACAGGCCAACACTAATGCTGATCAACTTTTGTTTCTCAAATTCACTGCCAGCCAGGAGATGTTTTTGGAGTAAAACACATCCTATTTACTAACTTAAACAAAAAATGTTGACAGACACTCACAGGAATCCATGTCAGCCACACGTATATTCAGATATTGATTTCGCTGATCTCCACAGACAGCCCCTTCCTGCCGGAGGCCTGACCAAACGCCAGCTAATGCTGACAGAAGGACTTCTGTTGACTTAGCAAATGTTAGCTCTGACCCCGAGACCTGGGAAGTGTCGAAGAAGCAAGTTTGTGCGGCTAATGACAGGTTCTGGTTACAATTCCAATTCAAGCACAACTCTGCCCACCCCCTCCCAAAGCCACACTTGGGGGCTAGACCACTTTGCTTTGGAAGACCCTTATGAGTAATCTGCTGTGGCCATGCCAACAACTTGCTGCACAGAACACAGTCCTCAGACCAAATTTTTTCAGTATTTCCTTGCTTTTTTTTGCCACTTCTCCCTGCACACCTCTTGTCAGAACCATTCCTCCTGCTCCATTTTGTGGCAGCGGGGCGAAATGGCTCCATGGCGACCTGCTGCATCTGCCGCCTCACTGTCGAGTGCAGCAAATTCCCCTTGAAATCAGTTGGAAGTACACGTGCCTACAGTCTGAAGGCATGTTTAACCTCAAATGACACAGTCTTTGTAAATGAGAGTGGGCAGCGCTGTTAGAAATGGGATATATTAAGAAATGTCTTCAGTCAATGTGCAGGGCCCTGCAGGCAGGGCTTGCTGAGACCTCATTCCCAATGGAAGGTGGTTGGTTTCTGGGCTGAACCCAGGCCCTGTGCATGGGCACATGGACTCATGTGCTCTGTCACAAGGAGAGCAGGTTGTCTCAGGGTGAGACAGGAACCTGCTGTCCTGGGGATCTGTGGGAAGCCCAAATGGCAGCAAAATGGGGCTGGCTGAGGTGGGTATGGGGTGTGGGCTGCACTCTGCATCCCACAGCAAACCCACAGCCAAGCCTGGGATCCTGAACAGTCCCACAGAAGCTGTCAAACAAAAACCCTTCACTTGGTAAAAAGAATTGCAGCGCTCTTCCTTGTTATCCCTGCACCTCTATTTGAAGCTAGAGATCTGCCATTCACAGGGCAGAAATGGAAATAAATCCATAATCATAATCATGACGATCATAAATAATTGTAGTGTGAGAGGTGTCAACATGCGAGGAAAGAGTTGTTCCAGGTTCCCAAATCGTTTTTTTTTGAGGTGCAACAGTCTCTGGAAATAGATCTGGATGGGATGTACTCTGGATTTGGAGAGGTGCGGAGTCACCCACAGCTTCAAGCACAGAACAGGAGCAAGGTGCTTCCAACACACAGATTTCTAAGGCTGAAAGGAAATAAAATTTTAAAAGTCTTACTTTGGAGGAGGGGAAGGCAGCAATTTGTCTTTGTTTTTTATGAATGTGACAGGGCTACTGCTCTCGTGTTTTTGCAGGAGCTGCAGGTACTGCACTTCTTGCATCTGCCACCTCCTGCCTTTCTGAAATTAGGCAGGCTGAAAAACGAGGTGCCCAAACTTGATGGTTGTTTTTTTGAAATTTTGGGTTTTTGTTTTCCTGCCTCTCATTCAGAGCCTTATAAAATTGAGCATCTAGTTTCCTTGCCTTTCCTGGCCTTATGCTGCATTAGATACTGTATCTAAAAAAACCTGTTTGGGTCAGGTCCAGAATCATCCCAATAAGCTGAATCACTCATCTCCTACAGGCTTTGAGTTTGACCCTGTAAATGCTAAGTCACTGTACGCCTTTTGTGCACTGAAATCAACCACTGGAGATGGAAAATCTCCATCCTTTAAAATAGGCAAAACCCCTGTGCTGGTGCCTGGAACTCCCGCTGGCGTTACTGAGGGCTGTGTGAACAGAGTGACTGTCACAACGTGGTGCAACAGAGCACTCGGTGGATTAACTCTGCATACATCATGTATTTCTGCACGTAACAGACACCTGCTGCAAAATTGCCAGGTCTCACATCCTTTGCTACTTATGAAAGATGCAGCCAGCAGATGAACATAATTGCTGCATTCCCTCTGCCATGGGAGAAGGGGGAAACCCCTCACTGAATGAATCTTTCTTAATAACAATTTTGGTTTGGAGTGGTTTCTACTGTGAGGCGTTGAAAAGTGTTATGCAAAGTGGATCAGGAATATAAATTTTTGTCTAAGAGGAAAGCCTATTTCTGTTAGTACTGATGCCAGTCTGCTCTGACTCCCTTAACGTCTGCAGATTTAATTCAGGCTAGCAACAATTAATCTAAGGACACACTACAGCCTGGTTTTCTTGAAATCTTCATCAGGTCCAGCTCATTCTCTGTATTTCTAAACAAATCCCTGTTTTCTTTAGAATTAGCAGCTAAAAGATTTAGTGAAAGCCACTGATACAACTCACCTGGTCATAAGCTCAGGGAGACTCTCCCTGCACACGCTGGAATTTGGCCAGGAATTAGCAATCTGCTTCAGTATGGAATATCCCAATAGCTTTCATTTGCTTGCACAGTCAGTGCCCCTGAACCAAAAGCTGGATCTACCTGGCCTCTTGTGATGTGAGGGGCCAGTTTTATTTGGGTAACTTCATTGATTTCAGGAGAATTGTTTCTGATTTGTACTAGAATAAGTGGGAGCAGATTTAAGTTCTTTAATGTTCTTCCAGCTTAGCTCTTGGAATAACTTATATTTCATTATTATGTGTTTATGTAATTAGTGCAATTATATCAAATTATATAATTGGTACAATTACTTGGACTCATGTAACCACTGCATGTAGCATTCCATGCTGTAAAATCTTTTACTCCTGGGAAAAAAAAAAAAAAAAAGTCAATATTGCATGGGAATCTTAATTTGTTTTTAAATTCCAGTATCAAATTTAGGGCCTGACCACATGCAAGGAACTTCTGGTTCACATCAGTGGAACTTCTCTGAGCAGGCAGCGTGCAGCCTTCATCATAGATATTGGGCTTTTAATCTGATTTGGCCAATACTATTCAACAGAGGCCCTCCTTGGATGTGTGCAGCCCTAACCAGTACAGAGCAGAAAAGCCAAGTTTCTACACACATGCTGTATAACCTGAGAGATCTGTGAAGCCATCAGAGATGTATGCAGAGAGGCGTACAGCTTCCTTATACTCTATCAGGTTTACTCTGCTTGTGATCTGCTGCTGAGAAGTTGCCACTTTTATTACATTCATAGGCTCCCTCTTTTTGGTGCTGGGTTTATTTTCTCTTACACTGTAATTGGTTTCCACGATACATTTTTTAAAAGAATGGGAATAGAGGAGTTAAGAGTCTGATTCTAAGCATGACACTGAAGGAAACTTTTGTGAGTACAGTCAAAGTAGAGACATCCAACGAAACAAGGCAACAAGAAGAAAACTCAAGAAGCGGAAAAATGCACTGATTTCTTTGGGCCACATTTGCCACAAAGAAAAAGGCAGAATGAAAGCTGGGTTGTTGGGAACCTGGTAGGAAGGAATGAGCCCTCCCAAATACTAAGCACTCCATGTTCTTAGTTTAGCCCACATACACTGAACCCAGTTGCAAAGTACCCAGGCTCACACCTGAGCTACATCTCTACCTAATGAGACCCCCCCCAGAGTCAGGGCAGGCCCAGCTGAGCCTGGTCACTACATGATTGTGGAGGGACTCAACCTCCTTGTGTGTCCTCCTACAGACCAGTCTTTAGAGTTAGGCTGGAAGATGCAGCTGCATCCCTAAAATGGCTGCACTGTGGAAGACTGCAGATCGTGCTGCTTTTCCCCAGCTGGTAAGTGTGCTTGTTGCCTGTTATTTTTATCTTGAGCTTTTGTTTTGTTTTTGAGGATAATTGCACTTTATTGCTGCAATATGTTATAATAAATGCTATGAAGATGACTATTGTATCCAAGAGGAAAGGAGATGTGGCTGGGGAGTGAACTTAAACCTCCATGTCAGCAAAACAAACATGCAGTGTTTGGGCTGCATCAGTCAAGTGGCACCAAAGTGGCATTTAGGTTCTGCCCAAGCTGAGTCTGCAGGGTCGATCCCATCTCTCTGTGCTATGTTGGATGGAGTTGTTTTTGTTTTTTGTTTCTTTTTTTTGTCTGGCAGAAGAGTTTGCTATGAGCTGTTAAAGTACAGCAGTGGTTGTGCTCTTCTGTGGCTGAAGCTTAGGCCCTGTGGGTGAAGGGGAAGCTGGTCCTGGCCATTGCAGCAGCTGCAAGGTAGGAGAGGTAGATGCTAATGGTCCAACTATCAAAGGATTAAGAGGTGTAAATACTGCCTGGAAACCATTGGTTTGTGCCTCTGTGAGCTGGAGCAGTCTGTGGTCTCTTGAATTCTCGGTCTCTCTGTCTTGTCTTGTTACTAATGTTGGCAGTGATTGAGCTATGAGGGACTAAATTCATTCTTAGGTCTGGTTTTTAAACTGGCCCACAGCTGTGGGACTGCAAGCTTTTCTTTAAGAAACAAAGTAAAGCATCTTTGTAAATTAAGGTCTTAAGCTCCTGTGGAAGGAAACAAACAGCCCTTATCTGTCTTAATGAGAACTGTAGAT